ATCAGTTCTGCACTTAACAGTTGAGTTTAGTTGGGAATTAGTTTATATTTCAGGCTCCAATATTTGCTAGTCCTATGATCTTGAGCAAGTTATATTATCCTACACTTCCATATACTCATCTTTCAATGATAAAAGTGCACATCCAAGGGTCACTGTGAGACTTGGGATATAATTCAGTTTCACAAGCACCAGCGTGGTAAACAGAGGGTCCTGAGTTTGATTCCCAGCACCAAAAGAAAAAAAAAAGAATTATTGTGAGGATTTACGGAGCTTTTCATTAACACACAAAAAAGTTACTTTAGCATAGTGACAGTATCACTTAAAAATCTCATCTGCTAGTCCTGCTACTAGTTTTATTTTATTAATATCAAAGTGATTTCCTATTGCTTTTGTGCTAATTCTTTTTACCACACATTCCTGGATGTTCAAGTGCACCTTAGCGATGACTAAGTCTCAGAAAAAGTCTGTTCCTATAAAGTCACACAGCGTGACGGGACCAGGCCCCTCTTCACACGCAGATGTTACGCGACACTGTGTTAGGACATGCTATGTCCATAAGTTTTGGAGAAAAGGTGCATTTGTAACTAACATTTGTGGTGATAGTATTCAGCCAAACTCTGTGATAACAATTATTTAATCATTTTCTGCTTGAAGGGAAAAGCTACCGTATATTGAGCAGAATCACTCTGCTCCTTCCAGAGTGATGTTGAATTTTATTTCCAGTCCCCAGACCTACTCCAAGGAAGAGTGCCGTTGAAGAGTAAAATCACCGATGAGATTTATTATATTATATTGTGCAGTAGAAAGAAACATCAGATGGCAAGAGCGGGCTGTGAGTGGTAGATGTATTAAGAGGGCCAAAGAAGGAAGGATTTATGTATCCAGCTTGGGAAAGGTGAGAACAGAACTGTGAGTTGTCTGGCTGGAATTTATCTTAGTGTGTGCTCCAGGCAGAGTTGGTAGGCATTTTTCTTGCTTCAAGACGCCGTGGTTTCAGTCTGGCAGTTCCCTGCTGAGGTCCTAGGTCACCTCTTGATGGACAGAAATGGGGGACCTGGGTGCGCGGACGCAGGGCGAGACCAGGTCGGCTCAGCGGTGGGAAGAACTCAACACGGACTCTAAAGCCTCCATCCACAGCTCACCTGTGTTGCCCTCCAGCTGGAGCACAAGGGGATCTCTCGTGGGACTTGGAGAAGCCACCGCTATGAGACTTGATTGTTCTAGATTTTTGCTCTTAGATCAGAGGAACTGTCCTGGGCCTCCTGGAAGATGGAGGCTGTGCCTGATTTGTCTGACTTGTATCTGAACACAAGCCAGAGATGTTTCTTTTCTTTTTTCTTTCTTTCTTTCTTTTTTTTTAATTTTAGATAAGGGTCTGCAGGGTGTTCAGGGTCTCACTACTAGTAGTGATCTGCCTGTTTACAGCCTCCCAAGAGCTGGGATTACAGGTGTGCGCCACCATGCCCAGTCTCAATTGCCATCTCAGCATACCCTGGAGGTGGGGCCGGCACAGCAGGCCTGGGGATTGAATCCCTGGCCCCTGCACCTGCTTGCAGGTACTTTAATCCACTGAACTATGTGGCCAACCCCCAGAGATGTTTCAATACAAAGAATTTAGGGTTTTTTTTGTTGTTGTTGTTGTTGTTTTTTGTTTTTTAACTGGAAACAGTCTCGGAAGGGCTAGGGAAGTGGCAATTAATATAGAAAGAGGCACAGCAGTAGGATCCCTCAGGAACTGCGCTGTGACCTGGCATTTCTGAAAAGGTTTCCAAGACCCATGTTAGAAAATAAAAGGCAAAGGAAGTAAAAGCAGCTAATTAGAAGATTTCTGAGACCAGCAGAGAGAAGACAGTGGGCTCATTGCCCTCTCTGTGTGTAGCACCCAGAGGCTGTGCTAGGGAAGCTGAGAAACAGAGATTGTGGAAGTGAACTACACTCTAGGTGTGTGCATCTGCTGTTTAAAAGGTCCCTGGTCACTGACCACTTGGAAATTGAGATCGGGAGCAATTGTCCATTTTTCAAAAAATCCAGCTCAAGGCCAGTGAAAGCATTTCCTCTGAATTTCACATGACTCCAAGGAGAGTTGTGGGCTTTAATCGACAATGGCCTGTGCCAGGCTGAGGAGGGGAGAGCCACGCCTGCATTAGGAGCAAGCAGGCTCCACATTAACCAACGACTCACCTTTTCTTCTTATGTTCTTTAAAGTAGGAGAGTTACAGTGAATAACCCTAAAGAGGTGTGTACACATGCAGGTTTTAGATACAACAGCCTTAAGGCCTAAGCTCAGGAGTAGGCTTTTTCTAAATTATAAGCCAGACATATTGCATCTGGCACTCAGGCATCCAGCTCTTCATTCATTCATTCTTTCATCCATCCATCCATCCATCCATCCATCCATCCATCCATTCATTTATTGTCATTCAACTGTCATTATGAGTGCCTCCTCTACCAAGGCAGTAGCAAATAGGCAGTGACAGTCAACAGCAGCTCTTGCTTCCCCCTAAGAGGCTAAGCCCTGTGAGCACAGCACACGGGGGTGCTGAGGTGGGTGACACACAAGGTGCCGCATAAGGTTGTATTAAATGAAAGAAAGGATCAAGCAGGTGTGGTGGTGCATGCCTTTAATCCGAGCATTCTGGGAGGCCAAGGCAGGAAAATGCCAAGTCTGAGTCCAGCCTGGGCAACTTAGTAACTTGGTGAGATCCTGTCTCAAACTAAAAAAGGTCTGGGAATATAACCTAATGCAAAGGCCTTGGGTTCAATCTCTGGTACTGAAAAAAGAAAAAGAACATGTTAATGAACACCTGCATGGAGACAATCCCAGGGAGCTGTGGGCATCCTCAGATCCTGGATCTAAACCAATGTGGAGTTTGGAAGCGTGTGAGTCAGAGAAAACATTCTGAGAATGTAATTCCTGACTTGCTTTGCACACTGTGTCATACAAGAGGTAGTAACAGACTTTCTACCACATGCCAAGCACTGTGTGGCTGGTAGGGATGACACAGTGGCAGGGAACCAACACCTCCCTAGCTCTTGGAGTTAACAGGCAAAGGGTAGGAGGTCCACAGAAGCCCAAGCTGTTCAGGACCTTGCAGGGGCAGTGTCCAGCTTAGACAGGGATCTTTAGGGGCACTTGCAGCAAGGGCTGTTTATGACCAGGACCAAAGGGTGAGAACAAAGCATAGAGGAAAGGGGAGTGCGAGCTGGTGGATGGAGGAAAAGGTCTGGTCACAGGTAGCAAGGATCCCTCCGGCTACTGTTCAGACAGGACTGGCTTAGAGTAGGTGGTGGTGGGTGAGTCAGAAAGCTGTTATTCCCTCTGCTTCTCTCTTGAAAGAACAAGAGGCTAGAAAGCACACAAGTTATTCTTGTGGCTTTCCATTCTGAGAAGCAGAGCCCTCACTTTCTCTCTGGCCACTTCTCTCGTTCATGTAAACATCCTGCCCAGTCAACCAGCTCCAAATAGACTCTGTTTATAGTCAACATCATGCAGTATAGTTCCCAGAAACAGCCTTAGATAAATCTAGAGTCTTTGGTTGGTCATTAGCTCCCGTGACCCTACACCCAAAATAGCTCTGGAATCTCCAGCACTTCCCCTGGCGCCTAGTCCTATGCTTGCCAGTCATCAGCACAAGCTGACCTCGTTCTGACATGCATGTTTGTTGTGTTACATGGACATTGGCCATGGTGCACAGCTACCTTGGTGGTCCTGGCATTAGCTTTCTCTGCAGAACCCCCAGCCTCAGGGCTCTAAATAGCAACCATTCATGATTTCTCCGGACCCTGTAGGTGGATGGGCATTTCTTCTGATCTGTGCAACGTGGCTGTGGTCTGATTACCTGTCCTGGCCCGACGCACAAATCTGAGGGCCTGGCAGGATACTCCAAGCTTCTCTCCATGCTGTTTCCTGTGCTCTGTGGTGCTGGCCCAGGCCTCTTACTGTAGCTGCAGAATGATTCTCTGTGGCAAGAAAGTGGCACTTGATTCCTAAACATATTTAGAGGAATGCTGGGGATCAAGCCCAGACCCTACAAATGCTAAGTAAATGTTCTGCCACTGAGTTCACTCCAGAACCCCTGCGTAAGCACCGTGCAAACCCTTACTTGAGCACACTTGCTCTTGAGCCACTGGCCAAAGGAAGACCATTGCAAGATCAGATTCTAGGCATAGTGAGATAGACCCATCTCATGTTGGCTGGGAGGCAGATCCGCTGAGCAGAGGGCTACGTGTATCCATCTCATGTTGGATGGGAGGCAGATCCGCTGAGCAGAGGGCTACGTGTATAGGTAGCCTAAGCGAATCGGCCCATCACGGCACCACGGTGGCTCTGGATGCAGACGCAATGGCACTATCCTCTGCTACTGCCCACCTTTGCCAGCAGGGCATGGGCACTCCCAGAAGCTGTCCAGGCCTCACTGCTCATCTGTCATAAGGGAATCACTGGTGAGAGTCTCCTTGGCATGGGTAGGGTGTGAGACGAGAAAACACCCAGCTGTGCCACAGGTGCGCAGGTCACCTGGGCACCTGGGCGCCACAGGGCTCAGCTGGCTTCCTCTTGTCAGCTGAAATCTTCTGGGGCCCCTTCCTGTGTGGCTTTGGCCTGCTCACTCCTGGCCAGGCTCACACTGTCACTTCTACATCTTACCCGATTTTCTCGGTCCTTGCAAACGCTTTCCCCAGCCTTTTGTCATTGCCAAATGGCCTCGACTTGAACCTCACTCACGTAGTGGCTAAAGATCTCCCCTGCTCTTCACACTCCCCTTCCATCTTCTTCTGTTATCCTGAATACCTTCACCCCCTGTCCCTGACCAGATGCATCTGTACTTTGTCCCTTCTGCACCAGGCTTTGACCCCCAAGGGCGGGAGCAGTGAGCTCCTAGGCCCCTGTCCCTGTGGCAGAAGCCTGCCCCGGTGGAGGCCCCACTGGGTTATTTGAAAAGGCAATTGATGCAGTAAATGTCACCACTGACTTGCGCTGTCTTCTCTCTTTCCATTTTCAGACTTCACTTCCCTCAGCCGGAAATGCCAGTGACAGGCAATCGGCAACTCCAAGCACTTTGCTAAGCAAAGGGACGCTTTCACACATGACCAGGGATGGACAGCCTCTCTCCCCACCCTCTGAGGTGAGTGCTGTGAGATGCACCATCTTCTCCAGATCCTTCCTTGGGCTAGGTCACAGGGGAGTGGGACACAGTGCTATTTCTTGGTCCCTTTGTGATCTTGCCTGCTCTGACAGCGCTTCTTGGGGAAAGCTGTCCCTCACAGAGAAAGGAGAGCCCTGATGGAGTCTCAGCAGCCTCTCTTGGTCCTGGCTGGAGTGCCTGTCAAGTCCTCTTGAAAACTGATAAGCAAACACTTAAAGCAGGAGCAGCCTTCTAGGACAGGTGCCAGCTACCCTGTAGAAGGCCAGACCAAGCGTTAAACCATGGCCCATGGGTCACACCTGGCCTGGCCTGGATTTGCAAGTGAAGCACGTGAGTGCAGCCAAGCCTCCCAGACCAGAGTAGATCAGCGTCCACAGTAGCCAGTCATGGCTGTGTGCTGTCTTCACACATTGAGGTTTGGGCTATTTATTATGTGGGGAAAGCTGACTGACACAGCCTCCTCTGAGGGCCTATCTGACAGTGACTTCAACTTGTGGCAACAGCAGAGACCTTGTGACAGAGACCCTCGGGCTGCACAGCCTGGAGCAGGTGCCCTGTGGTCTAGAGCCCAGCTGTCCTCCTGGAGCCACTACATTAAAATTATGTAGAATTAATTTTAAATCACACTTAGACATATTGCAGGTGCTCAGTAGCTACATGGGGCCAGTGCCTACTGTATGGGCAGAGAGGGCCGGGGGTGTCTCCCCCATTAGGGAGCACTGGGTTGGGAACGTGATCACCTGCACCGTGCCTGTCCCTAACTCATTTGGGGATGACTGCAATCACTTTGGAAGAAAGAAGGTTGGTGTGAATGTGTGTGTATGTGTGCGTGTGTGTGTGTGTGTGTGTGTGTGTATACAACTTGTTCATTTTGGCAGGACTATTGGTGAAAATCTTTTTCACTTTTTTTATGGCCATTGAGCTATGACCACAACTCCTATCTTTATGTTTAAAAGTAGAATTACTTTTATAATTTATTTGGGGATCATGGCCTCCACACATGAATTCATGTAGAAATGGAACTGCATAGACCTTGGGGTTTCTTTTTCTTTTTGTCTTTTTGAGACGGGTCTCGCTATGCAGTTTAGGCTGGCCTTGAGCTCACTTTGTAGCTCAGGCTGGTCTTGAACTCACAATGATACTCCTGCCTCAGCCTCTCAAGTCCTGGGATTGTAGGCATGCACCACCATGCCCAGCTGGTTTCTTGGTTTTACAAATTAAAACAGACAGAGAAACACAAGCTTGGGTCTTTCTATGGTCCTAGGCAGCCCAAGTGTTGAATGCATGCCTATGTCATGGGAGAGGACCGGTTGCCACAGTGCTTCCTACATGAGCAAGAGAGACAGAAACAAGGGGGGAAAGATGTGCTCAAGAGAAGGGCTCTGTGAGCCCCAGAATGATGGGGGGCAGAGCCAGAGAGCTGGAGTCGTAGTCCTAGTCCTGGGCATACTTTGAAAGAGCCTATTGAACAATGTACCCATGCTTGGGATCTCAGCACATCCCAGAAGGAGGCTGAGAAAAGTCAGTTTTACACAAGAGACAGGTGCATTGGCCTTGGACCTAGCCCTGGTCCACCATCTTGGAGGGACAAGACAGGCAAAACCAGAGCTTGCAGTTGGTTTCCAGCCAGAAAAAGTGATGAATCACACAAGCTGGTCTCTGAAATAGTATCTATAGATGCCGCCCGGCTCGGACAGAAGAGACTAGAAGGCCGCTGGGTCTAGGCACAAGCTCCCAGGGTAGGTGTTTAGAAGCAGAGCTCCCTTGTGCTTGGGTTACTTGGGAAGGAACAAGAACAAGGAAGAGAGGCAGCTAATAAGAGATGCAGTTACTTCATATTCTGTACATTTAGGTCCGAAAAGGACGAAGATTTTCAGTGGGATCAGCATTTTGTCAAAGAGCTTTGCTTCCTTTCAGGGGAGGATAGAATTTAGAGACTGATCTCTTGGTCTCAGTTTGTCCATTGTGCTGGGGTAGCATTGGTTCTATACCCACTGATCAGACAGATCTGGGCCCTGTGTGTGTGTGTGTGTGTGTGTGTGTGTGTGTGTAACAAACACATGTAAACACACAACCACATCCATAGACTTATTTACATCACATGCATGTTCCCCTGTGCATTCATGTAATCTCTGGATGATTTTTAATTGGTCTATTTATATATTAAGACCACCACGCATTCTCATGATGTTGCTAGAACTCTCTGGGAACCGGGTGTGTCTCGATGCTGAGCAGTCACTCCCCTCACAGCTCAATGGCACCCCAATCGCCGCCTTTATTGAACTGGATCAGGCACCAGTATTTGCTGCTACTACTGCCATCAACCCAGGAGTCCAAGTACAGTGAAGCAGCCAAGCCCTTGAAGAGCTAATAAACTCAGGCCAAGTTACCTGGCTAATCAGAGAAGCAGTTCACAGGGAGCGCCCACCTGGCTGTTGGCATCTCACCACAAGATCCAAAGTATGGGGCACAGGTTTAAGAGTTTCAAGAGAGAAACTAGAGGAGTGAGGAGTGTTTGCCCCCATGATCGAAGGTCTCTGGCCCTTGCAGCAGCAGGCCAGCTGAAATGGATCGATCGATTCTAGATCCTTTGCTCTCCTGGAACCTGTGTGGTCTGGATCACTCGATGCTGTTCTGCTGGGTGGGTGATACACAGAGGTCTGTGGGTGTGCGTGCGTGGAGCTGCATGTGGAAGTGAGTATTGTTGGGGGGATGGCGAAGCCCTGGATTCCAGGGACTTGTGGTGGGTGCGGAGTAAGGCCTCGCTGCCAGGTGAGCCTCTCTTCCCCCTGACTGGGGTTTTCCTGGCAGAGCTCCAGGAGTGCCAAGGTCTCCACTCCCATACCTCTGTGCTGCAGCCCCCAGTGGACCAGCGGGCCCTGGTCCATCCGGCAGAGGACACGCAGCATGCGTGCCTAGTAAATGCTGGCTCAGATCACAGGCCCACAAGTGCTTCTGAGCGTCTTCCCTCTCCTGGGTGCTGCTCAGGATCACGTCTCAGCCGGGAGTGGGGGCTGGAGGAGAAACCAGTCACATGAGTGGCAGAGTGGGGACAGCAGGGAGGGAGGCTAAGCCTCGGCGTGAGGCTGACAGCAGAGAACAGGCGAGGGGAGGCTGGTGATGGCAAGGGCTGGCTGGGCGTTTTACCTTGCTGCGGGGGCTGTGGCCAGGCCTGTTTCCTCTCCTGGAAGAGTAGCACAGTCACATAAGTGACTCCCCTCGCCCTTATCAGCACTCAGGCATTCCTGTTGGGTGGAGCAGGGTTATCAGCAAGCCCAAAGACAAACTCAAGCCCAGGTCCTCCAAGGAGATAAGCAAACATGCCGGCAGTTGTCTGCTAGACAGCTGGCAGGGAAGGGCTGGTGGAGTTTCCCTGCGATAACCTTCAGAATCCACAAAAGCAGGAACAGAGGGTGTGTCCCAGGAAGAGGGGAGCTGGGGGGCTGGTGGTGGAAAGACTGCTGGGAGGGGGTCAGCCTGCGAGGCGAATCCACAGGAACCACGCACGCACGCACGCAGAGAGAGGGAAAGGAGGAGAGAGCTTGGGTTGGCTGTGGCTCCCTTCCTTCACGCATTTCCTTATTTGCTCACGTAGTCATCCGACAAGCACTGCGTGGTGCCCCTGTGTCCCAGACTCTTCCCTGAGTGCTGGATGTAGAACAGGAAGACACGTACTCTGTCCTTAAAATGCTGCATGTCAGTGGGACAGATAGATGGACTGGTGCATGCACAGGTGGAGCTCTGGTTTCCCGGGTCTTGAAACTTATGCAAAGGGAGACCCTCTTTGGGGCAAAATAATAGAAAGTTATGAATTGAAATAAAATGTCAAAAACCACTGTTGAATACCAAATAAAATAAAATAAAATAGAATGCCAGCGTGCAGCTGAGGGGCTGGAGCTTGTGCATCCTGGGCGTGGAAGGGCCTATCTGGGTTTGCATGCTGTAGGACAGCTGCTTTCTGTACAGGATACGGAGAAAGCTGCTGAGAGGCCGGCATCCACTTGGCTGGAGAGGTGTGAGGATACCAGTGCTGCCGTGGGCCCACACTATGAGTGCCCCGGGCCCTTGCTCTTGGGTCAGTAGGCTGAAGGCCTTTGTTTCTCTTCATGCTGCCAGGATTCTCAAAGGCACTCTGTGTTTTGGCACCTCACCACAAGGTCCAGAGGACCTCACAGTTTCAGGAGAGCAGTGTGGAGTGTTTGCCCCCATGATCAAAAGTCTCTGGCTCTTGCAGCAGCAGGGCAGCCGAAATGGATCAATGGGCTCTCGATCCTTCGTTCCTCTGGTGCCCGAGTGACCTGAGGGGTCCACTTCCTGGGCTCTAGCAGGGGACTCTGGAGATCTGAGCTGAGTGCTGGGTTGAGTTGGCAAGTATTGACATGGAGTCAGCTGTTGGGCACTCACGGCTAACGGCTTTGCACACCTTGGGAGATTCCACCCCAGCCGCCCTGCTTGCTTGCGGCTGCCATTTCCTTGTTACAGGGAGGACAGAACCGAGGCACAAGGTGGATATGGAACTCACCTACGAGCACACAGCTAGTACATGGAGGAGCTGGGCTGTGAATGTACCTTGCTATCTCCAGAGCCTGTGACCCTGCTGTGCTACCTCTCCACCATCCTTGCCACCTAATCCTCCTTCACCAGTTTCCAGCAAGCAGGAAACAGCTTGAAAGGTCAGAGTTAGGAGAGTGACCAGTAAAGTGCTAGCTCCTGGAGTGCAACACTTCATATTTGATCTGTACAGAGAAGTTTTAGCAAGATGAAGAGATGCTTTGGTTTTCAGGTGCAAGGTGGGACGCCCTACTGTGCACCCACAGAGCAAGCATGATGAGAGTGGGCCTCAGCTGAGCTACCTCTGGCCTCTGCCTGTCTCCTGGCCAGGTACTGTAGGCTCCTTCACCCTTGAGTCCACTTACTGGCTTTGCTGCTGGGTCCCTGTTCTATCTCTGTCCTGTGCATGCCGCAGTGAGCCACAGAGA